GGAAGGGGAGAGAAGGGCCACGAGGCGAGGGAGATCCGCCGCTGGCCACCGCGTCTTCACTGTTGAGCACCAACCGGAAGGGGAGAGAAGGGCCACGAGATGCTAGGGATCCGCTCTGCCGGAGATCCGTCACCAGCCACCGCGCTGGAGATCCGTCGGCCACCACACTCCTTGAGCACGAGATCCGGCTCCACGTCGCCATGACCCCACCGAGTAGCATGCGAACATGGCCGACGACGGGGAGGGTGCGGGCGTGGCGGCCATCGACCTCCTCGGGGACGGCCACAGACGCGGTGGAGGGGAAGCGATGCGTGGGTGCGAGAGGAAGGGGAGCAGCACGCGATGAAGGGGAGGAGCACGTGACGGAGGGGAAGGCATGGTCGCCTCCACCATCGATCTCGGAGAGGAGCACGCGACGGAAGGGAAGGCACGAACACGACGAAGGGGAAGGGACGTAGCTAATCCAGGCAAAAAAAAACAAAGCAAATGTAAGCCAAACTTACCATGGCCAAGGAACTAAACAACAGCCAGTCGCATTGCTCGAGCCCGGCTTTGGCCTGGCTTAGAATTTAAGCCTGGCTAGGCTAGTCCATGTAACCAAACACATCTTATGGCTCTAGCTCCTCCATGGAGTGTAGCGATGAGCTAATTTTCACTCTTCTCTTAAATAAACTAGAAGCAAAAAAAAATACTATTTAGAGAAGTCCGAACATTCTTAGATATTAACTGGGTTTTAAAAAAATCTTCAAGAGAATTGGGAACACTTTTTCTCTAGAAACAATTTTTTCAAAAACTAAATCCCTGCCTAACGAGGCCTAACATTTCATTGAAAAAACTAGAACTCTAGTTCCATATATAATTCTAGTAGCCAATTTAGCCAAGAGAAATTGCACTGGTAGCCAAAAGTGTCGTTTCTATGATCGAAATGGAACAATTAGGCACCTATTTTTTTATTGCCGCCGTGCTAAAACTATTCACATAGCTACTAAGTTAGCCCCACCTAGATCTACTACTCATATGCTTGGAAATTGTCTCACGAGCATCGGAAGGGAGGATAAAAAACTATTTTTTATGAGGATTACTGCTATTATTTGGGCAATTTGGTATACTCATAATGATATTATTTTTATTACAAACAAAATATTTCTTTTATACATACTATTTTTAGAGGAGCGTATTAGTTGCAGTTCCGGGCACTGCTGCATCGTGAAGATAAAATAGACAAGTTTCGATTAGCAAGCAAAGCGTTGGAGGTTATTGTTTTTTATGTATTTGCCAAGAATAGATGGTAAAGTAATTTGCATATGATTTTCTTCTATTTGAGTGCACTCATTTTCTTTATTTTTGTTAGCAAATAAGCTGGCAATATTATAAGACATGGCAGTGTAATAAGTCGCAGAGGCCAAAAAATTTTATTTTCTAAAAATATATATAATTCTTGTCGTTTGGGACAACACATGTCAAATTATTAGAATTTTAACTATCATATCAAAAACTTCCAAAATATTTAGTTGAAGACACATAAAACATGAATTGATTAATCGAAAATTAGTCAAATTTATTTTGAAGGCCCAATCTGGAGACTGTCATTGTCCAAAACAACAAGAGCTATGCAACCGAAGAAAATAGTAATAACTTACTAAGGCATTCAACCTTAGCACTATTAGACATTGTTGAAAATTCTGATAACTTGCAGCCGAGTAAGACACCAGCTTCAACAGCTACAGTATTGTATTATTTGTAACTAAGCTTCAGCCATTCGATGCTAAAACCCTAGATATGCTGCTCCTACGATGGTACCACTACCACCGGTCCACCGCCGTTCTCCTATATTTGTCTATGGCTTTAAAAAAAACACTCCATAATGGTCATGTTCGCTTGTTTTATGTGCCGTACTTTTTCAACGAACAAACAGTGTTTCTCTCTCACAACAAATCAGTCAACAGTACTTTTCAGCCTAGCTTATCAGCCAAGCGAATAGAGCCATTGTTACTGTCTATTTTTTATTAGACACTCTAGTAAAAGGAGAGTGGTTGCATTATTATATTTATTATTATATATATGTTGACTGTGTATCTCTGATTAAACACTCCAGGAAAAGAAGAGTGGTTACATTATTCAGGATGTTCAGCTGCAATTAAAATAAGTTGTAGCCGGCCGCTTAAATAGTAATTTGTGAGAGGAGTCAAAAGAAGCAGCAGCCGGCTGTGGCTTATTTAATATGAATATGGATAGTCATTTTACATTAATTTTCTAGAACTAATAGTTCCTTGTGCGTGCATATATTGCTGTACTATGAACAAGTATTGCAGAAGGAAATAATTTGGGCCCAAGTTAGCCTTTTAAACAAATCCACATAATAATGTGCAACTCGTATCCAACTGGATTTCTCAAAAAAAAAAACTCGTATCCAACTGGACAGAGGTCACTCCCAATGTTACGATTAGGATAGTTTCTATTTATTTCTAAAAAAAGAGATAGTTTCTATATTATTTAATATGGTATCACCCTAGGACGTTTTGTTGATGTGGCAACAATACTAAATAAGAGGGAGATGGAAACTACAAAAAACTGAATCTTATGCAAGAAAATAGTCTTGCACAAAAACCATAGTTTAAGAAACTACACCACCAATTCTGTGTGCATGTGCACTAGAAGACAATTCCTATGATTTTATCTTTTCTATACCATTTAATATGGTATGACGTTGGACATTTTGTTGTTGTGGCAATACCATTTTTTTTGCGAATTACACAGGTACAGACGCAGACGCTCAACATACGCACGCACACTCACCCTATGAACACATGTACGAAAACTATACCCCTATGAGCATCTCCGAAAAATTGTGCCGGCATATCTCGAGATTGACGAAGTCACCACAGCCACCTCTCGCTGTCGACAAGAACGTCACCTACCACTGAAAGTACAACATCGTTAAATCCTGGAACAAAATTAGGGAAAATATGAGCGCTCGTGTATCATTAACCCAGAGGGAGATGAAAACTACAAGACACTGAATCTTATACAACAAAATAGGTCTCGCACAAAAACCATAGTTTAAGAAACTACATGAAATCTATGTGCATGTGCACTAGAAGAAAATTCCTATAATTTTATCTTCTTGTATATATATGAATATGAAATTTCTTATTTTCATATAAAATTTATGAAAATAATTTTGCATCTTAACTTTTGCTACAATGTACCTTATTGATACACTATGATGTGTATCATTTCAAATCGCAACCTATGCCACAATTGTAAGAGTGTGGTATCGGACTAATCTTAGTGGGGTTTCATACACATTTAATGTGGTGACAACCAAAATTAACGAAAGTGACAGAAATTAAGAGTAGAAAGAGGGGATGAGGTGAGTCTCAATGGGAGGTTTCAACTCTCAGTTTTTAAGATTCCATGTGTTATAAATAGTTTAGAAAAGTTTCATTCCCATAAAACTCATTTTATCCCATGACATTTTTATCATATCTCTCCTCATCTATCCTACGTCATGTTAGCCTCTTTAATGTCAGTTTACGAAACTGGACTGGTATTGTTTCCAAACAAATGAGACTGTAACGAAACTACATTGCGAGCTAGCAATTTCATCACATGACGTTTCGGTCAATCCCGTATATCTCAGCATGTAACTGCTACCCTGTGAAACTGACACCAAACCATGCATTAGAGGGACTGTTTCATACATCAACACAAACCAATTTACATAATATGTGTTTCGGAAACCATCCTAGGAAATTCCCAACTCAAAATGGGCTTACGATGCATGTAAGTGGCTAGGAAGTAGACCACTATGTATGTAGGGTGTGTTTGGCAGTGAGAAACGTTTTGTTGGAACTGATTCTTATAGTTTTAAAAATCTGAGTTAGCCGAGCAGTTTCACAGAAACATTCCTAGAAAATCTAGATCTAAAATGTTTCTACGAGAACGTGGAACCCTACTAAACATACCTTTAGGTCGGACAGTCTCAAAGAGAGTTTCATGTCTAGTTTTCAAGATTTCTATGTATAGAAGTCCGACAGTCTCGATTAGAGTTTCATATCCTGTTTTAAGGTTTCTATGTATAGAGAACAGTGTAGCCTAATTTTGTCCGATAAAATTTTGATCATCTCTCTTATTTATATTGTGACATGTCGATTCGTTTGCACTACTATTCTAGCGCCACCTTAATTTGAGTCTCATGCCAAGTTTAATTATGTCACTGGGCATGGTTACTGGCATGTGCTTTCCGTTTCATCTCTATTGTGTGTGATTTGACAATGATCTACTAGTTGTAGCACGCAAAGGCGACGTCAGGATGCTGGATTTGGCACGATGGATATCATGTCCTACATTATGGAGGTCGACGCTTCAGTTCCACAAGTTTTTTATTGGTGATTTAACCGTCCTTGCAAAAGATTTGTTTTTTTAGCTAATGCAAAAGATAACCATGGAACATGGAGACATTTGCAATTTTAATCCCCCGCCCACCCGGCCCATTCTGGTGTAGCGATTTAATAACAATGATTATTTGGCGTATTTAAAACAACAGTAACGTTCGAAATGACTACTTGTTCTACAAATGTCCATAAAGTTCATTTTGTGACTAAGCTCCCGCTTCTAACCAAATGTTAGTAACCAATGCAAATAAAGGGCAAGAAGGGAACTGAATCCCCAACATAGATTACTCATTAGCATCTAGGAAATTGAAGACATGCAAGCCGAAACTGGTGGAAAACAAGCTTTGATTCCATGCATTCACACTCCAGGTAAACAACTACATAGCACACCACCAGGACACCACGCATATCATCACATCGATCTACTACTTGATAGCTACACTGGCTACTAGTAAAACCCAAGACGACCAGATGATTGATTTGGTAGTCATGGAATCAAGCAAGGAATCGTGAATCCCAAAAGCACCAGATCCTCCATTTCATGCCCCACGCGCACGCGATCCAAGCACGCACGCACGCACAGCGCGGGCGCCGCCGGGGTCATCAGCCCCTGCGGCCACAGCGCGTGGCCACGACCTCCAGGAACGCCGGGGAGTGGATCACGTCCTCTAGTAGGCCCTGCGGCATCATCGGGTACTCGCCGTTCCCGTCGACGCCTGCGAAAGGGCTGGGAAAGACGAACCCCTCCTGCTTTACCGGCACCAACGCAGCTGCTGCTGCCCTGGCGTCGTCGGCGCCGACCGCGGACAGGCCGCGCCTGCCACCGCCGGCGGCGCGCGGACGCGTAAAAGGGTAGAAGTCGTGCAGCGCGTCCTGCAGCAGACCCGCGTCCGCGGGCTCGCTCCGCAGGACGCCGTCCCAGTCGTCCACGTCCTCGTCCATGGCTACGGCGGCGGGGTGGGAGGCGACAGGGAAGGGCCCTGCGATGGTCGTGGCATCCGTCGTCGCCGGCGACGGCGCCGGAGGTCTGGCGGGAGCGGAGTGGACGTGTCCGTGTCCGTGGCCTGCTTGGTTGAGCAGGCGGCAGCCGTGGTGGGAGGAGCTCATGACGAGGTTGTGCAGCAGGAGGGGTTGATGTTGATCGGGTGCGCGACCGCGACCGCCGCCGGCTGCGGCGTGCCCCACGGCCAGTAGCCCGCGGTGGCGTGGCCGGGGAAGTTGGTGCGCGCCTTGTTGCCGCGCATGGCGCGCGCGGCGATGTCGTAGGCGCAGGCGGCCTGCTCGGCGGTGTCGAAGGTGCCGAGCCACCGCCGCTCCTTGGACATCGGGTCGCGGATCTCCGCCGCGAACCGGCCCCACGGCCGGCGCCGCACGCCGCGGTACCGCGCGCCCTTCAGGGACAAGTCGACGTCGCCGTCCCCGTCCCCGTCTTTCATCGCGGCCGACGGGGGACGCTTGCTCCGGTGGGCGTGGGCGTAGAGGTGCGCGTTGGCCACGTCCTCCATGGCTTGAGCCTTGAGCGGAGCGCTCCGCAGGCGAACGGAGATCGATAGAGGTGGGGTTCTGTGGCGAGGCGGCTGCTAGCGAGTGAGGATGTGTGGGGAGCGGTGTGGAGCTCGTGCACTACTTATAGGTGGGCAAGCGGGAGGGCCAGTGCTGGGCTGCTGCCTTGTTCATGCACTGACGGTGCGTTGGTCCATTGCCATGGCACTTGGCCTGGTTCGACATTCTCGGCGAAAGGTGATTTTTTTTTTTTTGAAGGAGACGAGGAGAAAATTGTCGTGAGGAGCGGTTTATTACACCTAAATTTCTGTTTGTTCGGTTTGGTTTATACTACCGTTTTCCAGCGGGGCTTCGCCGGCCAAAAAAAAAGACTAGTCACGGTTAGGGGCGTTCCTAATGTTAGAAACTAATTATATACATATTAATTTTTTATAGGCACTACATCAGTCTGTTCGTTTGGCTGTGGCTTGTCGTAAACGATCGTAAATTTATAGCCGGAACAGTATTTTTCTCTCACACAAACCAGTCAGCAGTACTTTTTTACGAACCAGCAACGATATGAACCAGCCAACCGAACAGGCTGATAGAAACTATAGCCTCAACAGACAGTTTCTACATAACATTTTTTTATCTAATCACATATATTCTCTCTCCATTCTTTACCAATCACATCCCTTCATGCCTTGGTTATCGTGTAGACATAGTTTCTAACTTACGTGGTGTTTAAATCCAGGGAGTAAAATTTAGGATGTCATATCGGGTGTCACATTGGGGTATCACATGGAAGTATTCGGATAGTAATAATAAAACAAATTACAGAAGTCCTCAGTAATTCACGAGACGAATTTATTAAGCCTAATTAATCCATCATTAGCGCATGTTTATTGTAGCACCATATTGTCAAATCATGGACTAATTAGCCTTAAAAATTCGTCTCGCAAATTAGTCGCAATCTGTGCAATTAGTTATTTTTTAGTCTATATTTAATACCCCATGCATATGTCCAAACATCCGATGTGATAGGGAGTAAACTTTAGTTGGAGGAACTAAACAAGGCCTTAGACTCGATTTCTATGATTTTTGCTCTCTCTCTTCAATAACTACCTTGCCACATCAGTAAAACGTTTAAGTGGCAGTATAATTAATATTCATAAAAATTATGATGGTTTCTGCATTGGGAGTACCCTAAGTGATATTTTTTCGGCCATGCCAAGATCTCTGGGACATAATTTTACCAAGTGAATTTTATCACAGATTTTTACAAATGTTATAAGTATATAAATTGCCGACAGAATAGCTATTTTGATCCCTCAACTAAAACCTAACGTTCAATTGCATCCCCAAACTTTTAAAATGGACGTTTCACTCCTCAAAGTTGACTTTAGGATCCTAGGCGCTTTAGTCCTCAAACTTTGCACTTTAGGCTTAATTTCATCCATTAAGTATCAAGTGCATTTCATTCAAGCTCTTGAACTCTCTAGTTCTTGGATCAAATTGAGCCAAAAATACAAAGTTTGAGTATTGAAACTAAAATGATCACTTTAAAAGTTCTAGGATAGAACTAAGCCCAAAAGTAAATTTGGGAACTGGAATTACCATTTTGAAAGTTGAGAGACCAAAATAGCTATTTTGCCTAAAATTGTCGTAAACCACATTTCAAGACAAATATACACCTACAAGTATCGAAGATCCAAACTTTCCACTAAGTACCCCATAACCAAAGCCTATAGGGTTAATCTTGGGAACACAAATTACATGATTTCAATCGAAACATGTGTATGACTTTTGGCATTTGAGGGTTGAGGCACCACTGAGGAGTTTTTGTGCATTGTCCCGAGAAAAAAGATGTTTTTTAAAACAAACACACACACATCCTAAGGTCTTGTTTGGAATTACCAGTATAAGTCTAATACCCATGTAAAATGTAGGTCTAAACAATTATACAAGCTACTCTACAAAAAACTGTTTGGATGATTGATTTGCTTAATACTTTTACACGCTTTAGCCTGTTACATCCGGAAAAGAAAACAGACCTCTTGCAACCACACTTTCTTTACAACGGATATCGCCCATCCTAAACTTTAGTCCCTGTGTTTATTTCCCTCTTCTAAACTTTAGTCCCTATCACATTGGATGTTTAAACACAAACATGAACTATTAAATATAGACTAATTACGAAACTAAATGCATAGATTAAGACTAATTTGCGAGACGAATTTTGTAAGCCTAATTATTAGCCCATGATTTGACAATGTGGTGCTACAGTAACACGTGCTAATGACGAATTAATTAGGCTTAATAAATTCATCTCGCGGATTACTGAGAATTTCTGTAATTTGTTTTATTATTACCATCTGAACACTCAATGTGATATCCCATATAACACCTCTAAACTTTAGTCCCTAAATTCAAACACCTCCGCAACACCTAATGTCCCTGATGATTGCACTCCACTACGCCCCTATCCCACCATGTCCACGGTTTCCACTTTCCTCTTATTCCTCACATGTTGTGCCCTCCGCTCGGATTGCCGTCGGCAGCGCCACTTCTTGACATCGGTAGTGTTGAACTGTTGATGCTTCTCGACCCGGCCACTAACTATTCAGCAGTGCCATGTAGTATGCTCGCCCCTTCGGCGCCAGGAAGTCCTCTCCTACCACAGCAACCAGAATGCACTGTGTCAACAACAACGCATGTGGCCCATATCCTGGTGAACATCGGCGACGGCCATGGGTCGTCCATCCAGGCGTTAGGGAGGTCCTCAAGTTCGGGTCCCATGGTGTTTGATGTGCGTCGTAGAAGTATGGGTAGCAGCGGTTACCATGGTCGCTGGGAGTCCCTCGGTGGTGGCGCGCATGGCGATGTTCGTATGCATATTGTGCCGATGTCCCCATTCAGGAACACATATATGGAAGACGTCGTCCCATGCTCAGTCAGCCATGGCTCACGCGAGCACTACCTGCGAGTCGTCGTAGCCCACTGGCCAGAAGCCCAGAAGTTGATGCTCCGGTATGTGGTGGTAGTCCACGGACACCACGTCGGCGGTGGTGTGGGCAGTGAGAGTTGATAGATTGTTAAAGGATCATCTAGCCATAGATCTAGCATGTATACTAACATTTGCGATAAATAGCGAGTCCTAGAACATGAAGTAGTACGGGATTTAGAGATAGAGGGCGAGTGAGAGGCTGCGGAGGTGCAAACAATCGGCCGCCTTCGTATAAGATGAGCTGGCCATGGGGTTGCTTATTGGTGGCACGGTGAAGCCCGGCGGTGAAGGCGCTATCGCGGCGACGGCGGTGGCCGATGGCGGAGCTTCCCGTCACTAGCAGCGTCACCTCTCTAGATCAGCTAGGGTTAGGATGTAATTGGGGTGTCAGGCGGCTCAGGTGACCCTCGTGCCTTATGCCCTGGCCCCCACCTCCCTTTTTTATGGCGCTGTGCGATGGGGGCCCACCAACCATGGAGCGGTTGGGCGTCCTCGATCAGGGCGCGGATCCAAGGGCCCAATTGGCCGTTGGACCAATTGGTGGAGATCAATCTAACATTCCCTCCCTTGATTTCACCTTATGATTTAAACTTAACTTACTTACTTTATCTTGTTCTCTTTCCATCACTGATCCATGCATAGAGCGTGCCTCATCGTCACGGTCAGTTGCCATTAGATTAAACAGCTACAATGTACCTCTCTGTTTTGAAACAGATTCTCAACTAGACCCTTATTGTCAAGGAATCATAGGCTTTCCCTTAAACCCATGCCGGCTAAGTATTCTCTGAACACGCTGGGTGGTAAGCCTTTTGTAAGCGGATCCGCGAGCATCTTTTCTGTTCTTATATGCTCAAGACTAATTATATGATCACAGACTTTATCTTTCACAACATAATATTTTATGTCAATGTGTTTGGCAGCACCACTTAACTTATTGTTGTGAGTATAACATACTGCTGGATTATTATTATAGTATAACTTAAGTGGCTTATGTATGTCGTCTACCACTTTCAACCCAGGGCATGAATTTCTCCAGCCAATTCACCTGCCACGTGGCCTCATAACATGCTACAAACTCGGTATACATTGTGGACGATATAGTGATGGTTTGCTTTGAGCTTTTCCACGATATAACTCCTCCTAGAGTGAATATGTATCCTGACGTGGACTTTCTGTCATCTCCCGCATAATCAGAATCTGTATACCCCTCTATATGTAGCGAATTACATCTTTTGTACGTTAGCATGAGACCCTTCGTATCTTGCAGGTAACGCAAAACTTTTTTTACTAATTTTAGTGTTCTATTCCTGGATTACTCTGATATCTGCCAAGTAACCCGGTAACAAATGCGAAGTCAGGGTGAGTATACACTTGAGCATACTGTAAACTTCCGATAGCTGAACTATATGGAACCGCTTTCATTTTATCGATCTCATATTGGTTCTTAGGACATTGAAATTCTCTATATCTGTCGCCCTTTATTATGGGAGCAGGTGAAGACTTATAATTTTGCATACTATATTTCTTTAGAGCCTTTTCTAAGTATGTCTTTTGTGATAATCCTAAAACTCCCTTTTCTCTATCTCGGTGAATCTCTATTCCTAGGACGAACGTAGCTTCACCGAGATCCTTCATATCAAACTTCGAGGACAAGAACTTCTTTATTTCTAGCAGTAGATTAACATCACTGCTAGCGAGCAAGATGTCATCCACATACAAGACTAGAAAATGTATTTCCCATTCTTGAACTTTGTATAAACGCAATTGTCCTCTACATTTTCTTGAAACCCAAACTTTCTTATTGTACTATCAAACTTCAAATACCACTGTCTTGAAGCTTGTTTTAATCCATAAATGGATTTCTTCAAGCAGCATCCCATACGTTCTTTTCCTTCCACAACAAAACCTTTCGGTTGTGCCATGTAAATATTTTTCTCCAGATCCCCATTTAGGAACGTCGTCTTTACATCCATCTAATGTAATTCTAAATCGTAATGTGCTACAAGCGCCATTATG